ATATTCTTTTTACTTTTTAAATTAATTTCAGGAAATATGTGAAATGTGTTTCACCTACAAGTCCAAAGAGTTTGGAAACGAATGCCCATACTTGTTTTCTTACACACTGTGAGCCACACAGGTTCTGGAAATTTCTCAAGTGGTATGTTGTTCACTGCATCTATCTTAAGAGAATCTCATGCTCTTTTGTAGTCTGGATTTTAACCTTAGCATAGGCATGCACCCTAGTGGAAATGCCCAAAGCACCATGTGGTCACCGTGCATTGATCACTACTGATGGCCAGTGGGCTTGTACAAACAAGGCTCGCCCTGAATACACAGCTTTTTGTGGGTACAGATGGAAACCGCTGTGCCACCAAAGACAGGATTTTCCTGACTCTGTGAGGTCTGCCAAGTCTCATGCTGTCTGCAAAGCTCACCCAACTGCTCTTACCTTCAGCTACCAAGCCACTGACCTGAATTCAAAACCTCACACAGCTCTGCAACTTCACTCCCTCCTCAGGCTGCACTTGGAGTAAGGAGTCCCAGGAAGCTCAGTGAGGGTACCTAACCATATTTAAGCAGGCAGGGAAGTCTGTTTCTTCATTTAGCAGTTCATTATTGACAACATGGGGCAAAATATCCCAACATCTCTGAAAACAGGCCTACCTACGGTTCAGCACACAATGCTAACAAGAGTTAACAGTGCAGTTAACATCAAATAATGCCGTTTGTTTTGCTGTGGTGAAGCAATAACAACACGGTGATGCCATTGGGAACAATGGCAATTACACAGCAAGTTGTTTTAGCACTACTGTATCATTACAGCTTGATAATATGCAATCAAAACTTTATTAGCAATCAGCAGCAGCATCTATTATTCATTGTTTCGGTCAAGATAAGAAGGGGAAGGCTGTATGCACACCACAAACAGGACTCTGAGCCAGCCTAAGCACAGGGTTGGAAGCCAATTTCGTGGCCATAGAATGCTGAGTCACTGCATAACCTTCAGCAATCAGTTACCATATTGGTTGTACCATGTATAAAATAGAGTAATAAACATTATATATATATTTCAAAGAGACATTAGGATTAATTAACTTGAGTGTATAGATAAGCATTGGCATTAATTTTTTAGCGGCTACCAACTTAAACGTTAAAATATTTGATTATAAGATTCAAGTACATACATCTAAAGCTGCAGGCCTGAAACTTATGCAAGCAGGAACCTGAGGTTGTAAAATACATACACCTATATATTGATGCACAACCTGGTCCACAAAGCATATGAAAACACATACTCAAGTATCTATTACACTAAGTGGTTTGTTTGATTCGGGTCCTTCATACTGTAAATGCACTGGAAAAAGATGTGTGTGGACTCTGAGAGGAACAGCACTGGTATGCAAAGTATCTTCAATATATGCAAAATTTGTGAGGATAATTTCAGTACCTGAGTTTTAAGTTTTAGTCACAGTATCAACTTTTTTATTATGACAATGAGGCTTAACATGACAACCAACCTGTATTCCCAATACATACTGCAGTTTAGAAACTCTAAAAATAAACCCGAAGATAATCCTCTGTTCCTTCTCAATAAATTATTTTAATTTATATTCAAAATAAAGCCAATGTTATCTCTGTTTATTTCCCAACCTTATTTTGAGTCAAATAACTATACAATTTATCCCAACCTTAACAATTACTTAATAAGCAAATTAGCAAAGTTTCATAAATAGCTGACTAAAGGAGTACACCCTAGTGTTTTCTAATTACATGCTTCCACCAAGATTTATACCCCCACCTCTTCAGTGTAACCAGATATGACTGCTACTACTAAAAAGTTGTTAAGGCTTTCATTATCGAGCACCACTTTCACTGTTTATTCAACAATGAAAAAAGTCCAAGGTAATTAAAATTTAGACCTCCCAATCCTGGTAACCTGAATTCTGTGGGCAGGCATAAATTACCTATAGAAATTAACAACAGTCTGCAGAGGCACAGAAATTCATCACCTAGATCCACTTCCAAAAAAAAAAAAAAAAAATGTATCTATCTTCTTCACATAACGTCTACCGCGGGCATGTACCTCTGACTGGTGTTTTCCCCCTCCATTTGCATTACTCTTAAAAGTCTGACTGCAACTCCAAGGTTACTAAGAACAAAGAAACATCACCGAACCACTGAGTCACCCTTCCCATCTAATTCCTTGTTCCACTAAGGAAGGAAAAAAAAAATAATTATTTTGAGCAATTGAGGAAAAAAGGAGAGGGAGTAGGTGTTAGAGGAAAAAAAGAACAATGTGCTTTTAAGAAAGAAAATAACTGATTAATGCCAAACCAGAATAATTTTTACTGATCAGCAAGATAGAAGTGGGAGATTAATAACATTTAAAAATTTATGTGGTGGGTATTGATCAGGTCATAAAACACATTTACTTTCACGTAGAGACTTAGAGAATATAAAGTGTCTGGTATGATCTAGGCAGGCAAGGTAGGAAGAAGAAAAACAGTGGACTGATTCAGAAAATAACCAGTCAGGATCCATCCCCAGTATGGCACAGAAACCTCACAAAAATTAATGGCTTTTTTCTGCTGACAAAAAACGCTACCCCATTTTTCACACCTGTTTTACTACATATTTGTTCTTATGTAAATGAGAGAAATGCAAAACAGAATCAAACAAAGAAGTATAAAAATATGCACACCGTTCATTCTGGGCAGGCTACCAATATGAGTAAAACACTCCGGCTCTATCAACAAACATGTAGCTTCACCAATTTACACCCAACCATTTTACACAGAGAGAAACACAGAAGTTCCCCAACTTCACAGACAATATTTGTACTAAATAGAATAAAAATAAATAATGAACTACATCTCAACAGAGAGAAGCTCTATTCGATACTTTTGCACCAGTTGGTGTCATTTGTGTTTTCCCAGAGCCAGGCACTTTGTAACTCCCCCAGTCAGACAACCACATGTGCTGCTTTTATGCCACAGTTGGCAAAGGTGGAAGAAGGAGGTGAGCCCAGAGCAGAACATATCTAGGGATGGATCAGATACCCACCCTGGCCCAAGTGCTAATCTTAAGCACTTGCTTCCTTTCAGTTTTTCCTTCCTAGTTTTATAAACAACCAAAGCATCTGGTACATCTATTACTTGTAAATAAAAGTCTCTGATTTCCCTATGATGCAGGCTAGCATCAATTTTATTTCAATGCAGTTCGCACCAGTTCTTTACACCGGCTGTCAGCAAGGTCTGAATGACCTTGTTTAAAGTGTTTATGTTCTCAAAAGAAAGCAACATTATCTGAAGCCTGCTTTATGTTTATTTTGAAAGAGCAGAGAGTTTATTTTGAAGAGTCCAATTGAATAAATTTAAAAGGCTTCTATGATAGATTATACTGAAGCATGGATAGCAAAACTTTAAACACAATGCAGATGTTGTATAGGCCAGGGGCTTATAACAGGAAAGTAACGTGTGCTTACGCAATTACGTGAGTATCCAAATTGCCATTTGGTTGTCGTCTTTGCACAAGATGTTGGACAAAAATTAAAACAGAAACAAATGTGCAATTAATTTCGCATTTTGGAAGTTTAAAGAATAATTACAAATGATCCATCATAGCCCTAAAAAAGCCAATTCTGAGACAACATCAAGCAGTCTCCATTTGATCTTACCCTCTTTCCTGAACAGTCCCCTTTTTATGACTAGAAGTTTCTTTTTCACTTGAAAATGCCCTTGTGATGCATGGACCACTGCCCCTGGCCAGACTGTACTACTCAGCCACTAGTATGACAGCAAAGATATGCTGTCACTATGAGGAATCCCACAAGGCTAAAACAATGGATCCTCCTTCAAAACAAGTAACACTGTTGGTGTGCAGCACCTCCTGGTCACAGACTTTTCCAACTCCCTATTCCCTTGCCCACCCCTTTTCCTGGATTCACTCTGTAAAGCTCCTTACACACACAGATGAAAGTTGAGTCCCCATACAAGCTCTTGGAACAATATGAAGTTTACAAGTACCTAAACCACAAGGTATTAGATAACCCATTTGTTTCTAGACCTGAAGCTTATGGGGTACATAAGAATTTCACCTAAGACTCCTCAGATAAGTCTCCTGTCATTTATAACAACTATTTAGATATCCTGGCAGAATATTTCAAGAATATTTCTACTGCTATAGATAACCCAGCAAAACTGTCATTGCGAACATTGGTTCAGTATTGTATTTATCAATAACAGTAAAATACTTTCATTTTTGAAGTGTACTTAAATGGGTCTAGCAAAAATCTTTGTTGGAAGATTTATACAGATACACAGAAAATTAAAGCACAGAAAGCCCACTTAGCAAAACAAAACTAACACATGAGAAGATAACCAGTATGACTAGCATAATGTATACTTACCCTAGCCCTGGTTTTGTGCTGATACACACCTGAGCATGCAATTTGTGCACACACAGGCAACAAGCATCTTGATATCTTAATTCACGAATATTAAGGAAATAAGAATCAATTTAGAAATTTATTTGGATTACTACATAATTCCAGTTGTCATAAAACACAATACAATCTGCATCAGTATTATATTTCATCCAGTTGTGACTGCTTCCAAATCAACACTATTTACCAACCTCAATACAGTACTCAAGAGCAGTAAGAAGTCTCAACAGACACATCCTAACACAATAAGTATTTAAAAGTTTTTAATTAACTGGTGCAAATTTTCTAAGAAAAGGAAAAGTATGGCATCTTGCAAAGTGGCTTCAGGAAGGTACCTTATTCTTTATCATTGCTTGTCTCTATTGTTAAAACTCACGTCAACCTCTTTCTTATTGAACTGCAGGAACTGCATTTAAGGAAGAGAAGGAGTAAGAGCTGATGACAGTTTGGATAATCTTGCTATATTAGCATCAATCAGCCACCAACTCAACTCAGCAGCAGTTTGGAAAGGGAAGAGACGGATCTATTCTGAGAATGGGGGGGAAGGTTATAGGAAAAGCATAGAACTTACCTCCACAAAGAGCTCTCCAGCACTTTCCCCATGTCAGTATGATAATACTTGGTAAGGATCAGGATCACCTAAAAAGAAAATGAGAATAAATATATTTATATATATAAAAGCTGATATAAGAAACAGAAGTAGATCACGGGCAGCATTATTCTGGTGAATGCAAAAGCGAGGGCCCTGAAAATCTGAACTGTGTTTCACTGTATTTTACCTCTTACCAGTTCTACTTTTGGAGTGGGATTTTTTTCCTTTCTCTTTCTAAGAAGAGTGATTTCAGCACTCGAAGTTTTCTGCAAACTTGGTGACTTTGTGAAAAATTGCCTATTTCACATGAGCGGTGGTGTTGGAACAGTCACATAAATCCCCCCTCCACATGACAGCCCCAAGCAATTTGTATGACTTTTTCAGCAGGAAGAACCAATCTGATTGCTAGTTTAAATTCAGGAGTCAACTTTCTTGGACACCTACAGACACTTTTTTTTTTTTTTTTTTTTTTTATTCCAAAGTGTTAAACAATGGTGATTAACTTTGATTACCCAGATAACAAATCCGGGTAGAAAATGAGCTCTGGTCTTCCCTACAAGATGAGAAATGCAACTTTCATGTCTGTCATTTTTCGTTCCTAGAATTATCACCTTTTTTTTCCTTCAGGAATCATCTCTGTACTCTGTGAACTACTCAATTATATCACCAACAGCCAACAAAATACACAAACAAATTTAATCCATAAAACATCTTCAGCCTCTGAGAAGAGTCAGCAAGAAACACTTTCCATTTGCTCAGAATCTGACAAATTCACTGGTCAAACAACGTAAAGCATTAGTCCATGACTGGTATATCAAGCTGAATGCTATGTTTTATATTTAGATCATTTAATACAGATTTACTTCACTTGCTGCCAGTCCATATTAGTGGTTCTTATACCCACGTTCCCATAGCAACCCCACAGCGGTAGAACAGGAAAAACCTCTGGTTCCTTGCACAGCTGTTGGATTGCTTTAATGTAGGGTCAATGTCATTCTCCAACAGTTTGGAACATGTTGTTATTTATCCGGCACTTCTTCTGCTCCTGACCACCAAATGAAATCTCCAGCAAACAGCAACTGTAGGCATTCACTTTGATTATTCAGATAATTAGATGATGATACATTTATGCTGCAGTCTCTGTATGCTGGAGCTTGTGAGAGAACAGAATTCCAGACCATAGGTGTTATACACAGAGTTTTGGAAATCATACAATGTTTTGCAGAACTGAGTTATAATACCAGTCTCACTCAGGGTTATCTAAGCCTAATAAATTCACATGTATTGCTGGATGTATATTGTTATAAGTGAAAGCAGAGCCAACCCATAATTCACAAATAGTATCAATCTCTCCTATTCTCAAAAGAGTCACAACCTACCAGACCACTTTGTTGGAATTTGATGGTTTATAAAAATAAAGGCTTGGTTTAAAATAAAGCAAGCAAGGAGAAAAAAAAAAAAAAATCTTTTACTTTTAAAGAGGTTACTACCAGACTTGCAAAACCAAGAGAAAGAGCCATTTCTCAAAGGAGAGCATATCCACTGATGAAATTCCTGGCTACAGCCCAAGCACACTCCATCAGGTCAGCTATTTATTCTATTGTCAGTGTCTTAACTACAGTTTTCTGCTGGTGCTTGCAATTAAGGAGAAAAAGAGAGAAACTTCACTACTGGGAGCATATATTGGCTCCAATAATTAAGGAAAAAACGTTTCAGACCATGCTTTTCTGAACAACTGATATTCCTCTTAGGTCACAAAAATTGACCTGGAAGGTTTCTTTAAGACACACCAGAATGCATATTTGGTGCATGAAAATAAGAAAGAAATCAAAATATATAAGAGATTACACTTTGTTTCTTTACATTCATGCAGAACTAGAGACTGAATCCTGAACTTAGTCAGCCATCTTTTTTCATCCCTGTACATCCAACAACAATAACCTTCAAAATTCATACGATTTTCAGCAATGTATGATGGAGCCACCCTGCCACATAGTAAGCCAAATGTTTTATTCCTGAATTAAACTGGTTATGATCAAACACAGAATATCCTATTGGGTTACCCTCGATTCTCCTGCTTTTAACTCAACCTCTATGGAGCCATCAACAAAGTACCTTCCAGAGAAACCATTTCTGTAATTCAGCACCTGTCCTAAGCATTAGAGACTTCCAGGAACAAGGGGTGGATTCACCGTACTGCTCGTAGTTCATCTACGGGATGCACACACCAAATCAGAAAGCTACGGTTGTTCTACACACTTCAGATGAATGGCTTTCAAGTAATTGCAAACCGCTTTGGGGAGTGGCCATATGCAGCAAGATGTCTTATTTACACTGCAGAACTGGTGCCTTAATCTGAGTCATAGCTCTGAGAAACAGGTGTCAGTATTTCCCAATCTGACTGGTAAATTCGTTCAAAAATTAAAATACCTTATTTTGCATTTCATAAATACGGAGAATGACTCAGTAGGAAAAACAAAGCCATAATGAGCCATCTTTGAATTCTTAAAAATTGTTAGCAGATTCTGGTCACAACCTACAAAGTACGAGTCTGATGGGGGGCTGACCACTATTGTAACTACACTAGTGGATTTCATCCCGATATCTGAAAAATGTAGGTCAGCTATTTAACAGATTTTATGGCATTGTCCTCTGGATTGTGGGCATCATTTCAGGTTAAATAGCAACCCTGATAACCAGAATGGTATTTTTTTCTCAGTTAATAAACAGATCCAAGGAACACGAGGAACCATTTCATGACAAAAACATAAAGGTCTTCAGGATCTCTGGATTCTGTCCGTCATTTATAAGAGCAGAGCTCTGTTTCACTGATTTCATTTCAATGGGACTTCCTAATTACAAGCATTTTACAGGTTGGATGGAAGCCAACAGTTCATACAGACAGCTGTCCTAGTGAAAGCGTTGGATGGCCTGTAGATGGAGAGCAGCTTGAAGCACAACAGCAACTAAGCAGTGATCAAAGGTGTAATTCTTAACCAGTTCATACTACAATCAATCATAGACAACTAAAATAAATTTAGCTTTTTTGTGTTATTATTTCATAGCTAAAATAAATGTAGGCAGTGGAGGAGAATTAGACTCACCAGATTCTTTATTTGAAGATGGATTTTTAAGGTTACCTAGACATCTCCTAGAGCATCCAGTCTCCTCTTTTATGAGGAGACTTGTGAAACCGTATTAAGCCATTTCATCTTAAATGCACCCAGTTCTTTGAGTTAGTTCCCACAGTATATCAATGGAGGTGGCAAGAATAATTCACTGTTGTGTACTTGGGGTTTATGAAAATCTGATAGTGCTTCTGGTTAAATATATCTAAGAAATGTATCCCTTCTCCTTTCATTGCCCTGAAACAAAAGTCCCTAAGCATTTCTTCTTCCCAGATCCCTCAGACATGTTTGTTATCAATAACACCACCAAGGCCTTTCTACCTGCAACCACTAAAGAAGGAAAACATTAATGAAGCTCAAAGATTGAAATTTTGTTTGTTTGGAGGCTTTAAGTAAACACAAGTAAAAATACATACATAATTTGGTCCAAAATAAAGACATGGATGTCTGATGCAGATCCCTTGCTCAGTATTTGAGCATTACAGACTTCTCTTAGGAGCAGATTTTGTTACATCTTACAGCTTTCTGATTACCCTTCTACTGCTTGCTCGGATCCCAGTGTCTTCTGCCCCTTTGCAGAAAGACGGCAGATCACTACAGTTTCACCTCCCTTCAGGAACATTACAATAAACAGAGCATTGTATCTCCAGATTCCTGCCAGGTTCCCTGCATAGAATTCAAGAGGCAATATTTTCACACTTTTCCTTCCAATATTTTTTTTTTTTTTTTGATGCTACATGGCAGGTATGCACCAACTATGTCACACAGTACAAATTTAAAATAAAAAAGAAAAAAGGAAATTAAAACTTTACACTTCTATCACAACAGTAGTACTCTATTCTTTGTTCCTTTACTAAAGCCCTTAACCTGTCCATAAAGCCAGAGTTGGCCAGTATTTCTCCATATGGGCCAAGGTATGGAAGATAAAACCCTTAGGATTCAAAAAAACATATGCAAGGTGCATTGGAAGTAACTTTTCAGTGGAAGTAATAACTGTAATTCTGATCAATTTGTCCAGGCTAGGAGACCATAAAGTTCAGATATTTCTCTAGCTCTACTTTTTCATTCTCCCCCCACACCTTTTTTTTTTTTTTTTTTTTTTTTTTTGGTTGGGGAGGGGTGGGGTGGGGGAGAGGGGATGTGCACAGAGAGAATTTTGATTCTCACATGCCATTCTCCTCCTTTCATAACACAGTTCCTGTCTCAGTGGATTCTGACTCTTATAGTAGTCACACCTCAAAAGTGTTCTTCAAACAAGAGTTGTAGCAGTTTCTGACGCACAGATATAGATATATAGGATATAGACCTGTCTTCAGTTTGCAGTGAATGACAGACAGGGAAAACAAATGGAAAATTACACAGATCTTATTATCCATAAATAAATAAAGTTAGAATGATCTACATTTTTCCCCTCTTCTTTTTGCTTACACTTTTCTGAAAATCTTTTGCAGAAAGGCTGGACCAAAAGGAGCAAACCTTCACTTTAAGAGATAAAATGCGCTCTTAATAATTTCCTAATAAAATTTTGGCTTTAAAGAAGTCCATTTTAATCCTCTCTTTTCATCACCACGTCACCTAAGAGGGTTGAGAAAAGTAATGAAATTTAGATCAATCACTTTCCCTGGTGTTTATATTTTATCTTTGGGGTTTTTTTCCTCTTCTGTGAAGGATTTGCTAAGATCCTTCTCTTTTTGATCAACATTGATTCATGGAAAAAATGCTTTCTCTATCCTATGCTTTCTCCATTATGTTTTCTTTCATGGACCATTCTTAATACAGATCTCTCTTTTTTTTATATACATGGAGATTCTTATGGATTAAGCTTTATTTGACCTCTTTCATTTGTCCTGACAAATTCATTGTTTTATTTGCATCTATTCAGAAGTTTAATAGAAAAAGACGCATACTTGCAAGTATGA